GGAAGACAGGACGAGACTACACTCCCGATGCCCCAGGTCCTGGAAACCTGGAAGCCGGTGCTTTTGCAAGCCAGCCTGTCTCTCAGGACTTGTGTCTGCCTGTCTGCTTCGTTCGAATCTTGGTGGCCATGTGGCTTTAGGAAAGCGGCCTGGCACCTCTGAGCCCGGCTCATTATCTGCAAACAGGGCCAGTAGCCGGAATCTGTTGGGTTGACTCTGTGATGGGGACACAGGATGTGTGTAATGAGCGCTAGCTGTTAGCTAAGAGTTGATCTTGGCCTTGGAGCAGATGAGAAGGGACACCTGTCAGAGTGTGGCTAGGGCTGCGCCAGGGAGATTACCGTCCCAGGGCCTGGCTGTTTGGACAGGAGGGACACAGGAATGCGAGTGTTGGAGGAAAGTCCCTGGAAGGCACTGCTTCCCATCTGTGGCTTGACCACTCCCTCCCAGATCTCCCGGGCTGCCTCAGTGTCCTTCCTGTTGATTCTGATGCTTTCATCAGCCAAAGCCAAGTGTATACCACCAGGCCCCCAGCATTGCTCAGCACCGCGTCCCCAGGAGGGAAAAAAGTCTGATTGGCCAGCCTGGGTCCCGTGTTCACTTCTGGGCCAATCATACCAGACCCGGGGCTGAACCATAGAGGGTCTGTAAGCAGAGGAGAGGCAGGTTCAGCTCTGGTTGAAAGATCCACAGATAGAAGCTAAGGTGTCATGTACTGGAATAATAGGTGAAGACTGGCCTGTGTTGCTCAGTGGTTGAGCGTCGACCTATGAACCAGGAGGTCACATTTGGTTCCTGGCCAGGGCGCATGCTCATGTTGCCAGTTTGATCCCCAGTTGGGGGGAGGGGGGGATGCAGGAGGCAGCCTATCAATGATTCTCATCATTGGTGTGTCTATCTCTCCCTCTCCCTTCCTAAAATAATAATTACAGATGAAGCTCAGGACACTGGAAGCCCAGAGAAAGCACCCTACATAGCTTAAGAGTGTGTGTGTGTGTGTGTGAGAGAGAGAAGAGAGAGAGAGAGAGGGAAGGAGGGAGTGAGGGAGGGAGGGAAGGAAGGAAGGAAGGAAAGAGAGAGAGGGGGACAGAAGGTGCCAAGGAACTTCCCAAGGAAGTGTTATATTCACTGAGGTGTTTTTTCCAGCATTATTGAGATACCAGAGGCCCGGAGCATGAAAATTCATGGCCTGGAGGGGAGGGGGTTTTCCCCTCAGCCAAGCCTGCCCCCTTGCAAGTCCAGGAGCCCTCAGGGGCGGGAGGCAGACTGGCGATCAGGGGGAAGGCAGTGCCCCCATCACACCTCTGCTGCTGCCACTGCCGGCAGTGCAAGCCTCGGCCAGCCCCGGTTACCTGAGCCTCAGGCAGCTGGGCAGCCGCCATTCAAGGCTCTGCTGCGACTCAGGCCGGCCTTGGGGAGCTGGGAGGCTGAAGGGACTGGGCGTCGCCATCTTGTGTTTGTGGGCACCACCATCTTTGAGGGCGGGGCAATCTCTTAGCATATTCCCTCGTTGGCTGTGGGCGCTGCCATCTTTTGTGAGGGCACGATTGCCTTGAGCCTGGAAACATGATGCAGATCTGATTAGGCCAGAAAAGTGGCCGGCGAGCATTTGAGATCTTGCGTCTTAGCAATTGTCACCCCTTTAGGCTCAAATAGGTTCTTATAAAAGGTCAAAAACTGCCCTGGCCGGCTCCGTTAGTTGAGTGTGTCCCATGCACCAAAGGGTTGCCAGTTTGATTCCCAACCAAGGCATATATACCCAGGTTTTGGGTTCGATCCCAATCTATGTTTCTCTCCCTTTCCCTTCCTGTCTCTAGAATTAATAAAAACATTTTTTTAAAAAAAAATAAAGGAAACCACACTTTAAAAAAAAAAAAAAAAACCTTGCCGAAACCGGTTTGGCTCAGTGGTAGAGCATCAGCCTTCGGACTGAAAGGTCCCAGATTCGATTCCGGTCAAGGGCATGTGCCTTGGTTGCGGGCACATCCTGGGTAGGGGCAGCTGGTCGATGTTTCTCTCTCATCGATGTTTCTAGCTCTCTATCTCTCCCTTCCTCTCTGTAAAAAATCAATAAAATAAAAAATAAAAAACACACAAAAAAACTCATTAAAAAAAATACACCTTGCCCTGGGTGGGCAGCTCAGCCCACTGAGCGTTGTCCCATATGCTAAGGTTCTGGCTTCAATTCCTGGTCAAGGCACATATAAAAATCAACCAATGAATGAATGAATTTCTCTTCTCTCTCTTTCTCTCTGAAATCAATAAATTAAGCCTCTCCCTTTCTGAAATCAATACAAGTATTTTTAAAATAAATTAATTAAAAATTGTTTTAATATATATCTTTTTTTGATTTTAGAGAGGGAGAGGGAGAGAAACATCAATGATGAGAATCATTGATCATCTGCCTCCTGGTCTCAAAGCCCCAACCTTCTCATCCTGTGATTGGTCTTTGGGGACTGACCAGCCTCCCCTCTCAAGGCATCTATTAGCATGGGTGGGGGTGGGGCTCATGAATAATAAAGACCCCATCACTTTATCAGGGAAACGCCTGAGGACTTATATGTTGTCTCCCAGGAAACAGAAGACCAGATGCCTTCTCTTTTATTTTATTATTTTTAAAATTATTTTTATTGATTTCAGATAGGGAAAAAGAGGAGGTAGAAACATCAATGATGAGAGAGAATCATTGATCAGCTGCTTCCTGCACGCCCCACATTGGGGACCGAGCCGGCAATCCAGGCATGTACATTGACCGGAACCAAACCCCAGACCCTTCAATCCTCAATCCAATGCTCTATCCACTGAGCCAAACCGGCTAGGGCTTTATTTTATTTTATTATTTTATTTTAGAGAGAGGGAGGAAAGGAGAGAAACATCAATTTGTTGTTCCATTTACCTATGCATTCATTGGTTGATTCTTGCCTTGACTGGGGATCGAACCTGCAACCTTGATATATTGGGACGATGCTCTCCAGCTACCAGGCCAGGGCCAGGATCTGAAACTGGACAATGAACGGGTCTGGGCTGCCTGTTACTACTTGAACCAATTAAGCAGAGACAGGGTTGAATCATGTGGAGATTAGCCGGTCATCCACAAAAATCTGCTCTACGCCTCCCCTCCCCACTAAGCCCGCTGTTTACATTGGGTAGAAGGACAAAGATCAGGGAAGTAGGAACCACAGGTATGGGGAAGTAGGCAAAGCACAATGGCAGCAGGTTACGGGCCGTTTGGACCCCGGGTTAAGGGGGGTGCCTCCCAGGGGTTACCATCCAGGACCCATTGTTTCTAACATGTTTCTAACTCTCTGTCCCTCTCTTCCTCTCTGTAAAAAATCAATAAAACATATTTTTAAAAAAATAAAAGAAAGAAACATCGATCAGCTGCCTCCTGCACACCTCCTACTGCGGATGTGCCCACAACCAAGGCACATGCCCTTGACGGGAATCGAACCTGGGACCTTTCAGTCCACAGGCCGACGCTCTATCCATTAAGCCAAACCAGTCAGGGCAGGTCCATTGCTTGTTCATTTATTTAACAAATACCGATGGAGCGCCTGCTCTGATTCAATCAGACCTACCCACCGTGGACCTGGGTCGAAGGCAGAGGATGAGTGCAGGATGTGCCGGGGAGAGGAAAGCAGGCTTACAGTGTGGGGAACGTGGTGGTGTGATGAGGTCTGAGCCTTGTGGGTATCTGGAGGGGAGGGTGTTCAGGCTGAGGGATCTGCCGTGCAAAGGCCCTGGGGCAGGGGTGTGGGGGTGAGCCTGTCCCAGGCAGAGGGAGGAAGCCAAGGCAGAGAGGAGATCGGGCTAGATCTTGCAGGTCTTGTGGGCCACCATGAGGACCTGGTCTTTTCATTTGAGTGGCAGGAAGCAACTCAGCAACTCTGGTCCATATGGGGCACAGACGGTGGGAGCGGGGAGGACGGGCAGGTGCGGGGAGGGCCAAGGCCACACTGGTACTCAGGGGAGATGGTGGCAGACCCCAGGTGATGGCGGCAGGGTGCTGAGAAGTGATTGTAGGGTCTCCAGATACATTTTGACTTTTTTTTAAAATATACATTTTTATTGGTTTCAGAGAGGGAGGGAGAGGGAGAGAGAGAGACATCAGTGATGAGAGAGAATCATTGATCGGCTGCCTCCTGCACGCCCCATACTGGAGATCAAGCCCACAATCCGGGCACGTGCCCTTGACTGGAATCGAACCCGGGACCCTTCAGTCCACAAGCCCTTGCTCTATCCACTGAGCCAAACCGGCTAGCACCATTTTGACTTTTTTTTTCTTTTTCTTTTTGACATTTTGACAGCCAACAAATTTGCTGGGACTGGACTGTGGGCAGTGAAAGGCCAAGATCACAAGTCCGTGCCAAGGCTTTGAGCCTCAGCATGGCGGGGGGGGGGGGTGCGGAGGACAAGGAGAAAATGAGCTCAGAGTGACCTCATTGCTTCTGCTCAGACCGGGTTCCAGCCCAGCTCCCTACCTGTGAGAACTGACCGCCCGCAGCCTTCCCGCCGGGGCAGGCGCCCTCCGGGCTGCCACCAGGTGGCGCCCTGGCCCCAGACAGATCCACCCCAGTCGCTGTCCCCTCCAAAACTTTCTTTCGCTTTCGATCTCTGGCTGTCACCGGCTGGCCCACTCCACTGCAGCTGGGGCATGACTGGTGCTGGAGGAGACATGGGCTCTGGGCCCCCGGGGGACGGGGCGGGGTGCCCTGCTGCGGCCGGGGAGGCGTGGGGGTCGGGTTCTGGGCCCCGGCCTGGGGAGGGTTCCGAGGATCGCCGGTCGGGGTTCTTAGAAAGGGAGATGCGAGATGCGGAGCGTTCGCCGTAACTGGGGCTCATGCAGGAAACCCGTGGGAGAAGTTGGCGGAAACCTGGCCACATCAAGGGGCAGGGAGGCGGAGGGGCGGGGGAGCACAGAGCTGGGGTGTGCCAGCCCCAAACCTGCTCTTCTGTCCTTTCCAAGACCTGGCCACAGGCATGAGGGGCCTCTGGCGGAGATGAGAGTGTTGGCACCAGCCTGGAGCCCAACTGTGCGTATCCCTGGGCAAGGTGGGGGACAGGGCAGAGTCATGTGGACAGATAGGTGAGGAGATGCAGAAAGTGGAGGGAGACGGGCAGGGGAGGAGGGAGACGGGCAGGGGAGGGGGGAGACGGGCAGGGGAGGGGGGAGACAGACAGGTGTGGAGGGACATAGGAAGGGGTGGAGGGAGACGGACAGGGGAGGGGGGGATGGACAGGGGTGGAGGGAGGTGGACAGGGGTGGAGGGAAGTGGACAGGGGTGGAGGGAGGTGGACAGGGGTGGAGGGAAGTGGACAGGAGGGAGGTGGACAGGAGGGAGGTAGACAGGGGTGGGGGAGACGAACAGGAGTGGAGGGACAGGCAGGGGAGGGGGGAGACGGACAGGGGAAGGGGGAGACGGACAGGGGTGGAGGGAGATGGACAGGGGGTGAGGGAGACGGACAGGGGTGGAGGGAGATGGACAGGGGTGAGGGAGACGGACGGGAGGAGGGAGATGGATAGGGGAGGAGGGACAGGGGCAGGGGAGGGGGGAGACGGACAGGGGAGCGGGGAGTTGGACAGGGGTGGGGGACATGGACAGGGGAGGAGGGAGTTGGACAGGGGTGGGGGACATGGACAGGGGAGGAGGGAGTTGGACAGGGGTGGGGGACATGGACAGGGGAGGAGGGAGTTGGACAGGGGTGGGGGACATGGACAGGGGAGGAGGGAGTTGGACAGGGGTGGGGGACATGGACAGGGGAGGAGGGAGTTGGACAGGGGTGGGGGACATGGACAGGGGAGGAGGGAGTTGGACAGGGGTAGGGGTGAGGGAGATGGACAGGGGAGGAGGGAGTTGGACAGGGGTGGGGGACATGGACAGGGGAGGAGGGAGATGGACAGGGGTGGAGGGACAGGGGTAGGGGTGGGGGACATAGACAGGGGAGGAGGGAGTTGGACAGGGGTAGGGGTGGGGGGAGGCGGACAGGGGAGGAGGGAGTTGGACAGGGGTGGGGGACATGGACAGGGGTAGAGGGACATGGACAGGGGAGGAGGGAGACGGACAGGGGTGGGGGAGATGGACAGGGGTGGTGAGAAGAACCAGAGGGAGGTGGGTAAAGATGGGCATCGGGAACCCAGAAGAAGGGAGAAGTGGGAGAGATGAGCATAAGGACAGAGATAAGGACAGAGATAAGGACAGAGGGGCGGACAGAGAAGATCCGGCTGAGCGAGGGAGACATATTGCTGGTCCAGGTTGGGGGCAGAGGAGACTGAGCAGCAGACGGTACGGGGACAGCAGCAGAGAGAAAACCAGGGACAGAGGGTCAGAGGTGGCAGACCTGAGGCCGACTGGGAGGGGGCGGAACCCAATGGGCTGAGCTGGGGAAGGGGGAAGGGGAGCGCCGGGGAGGGGTGTGGAGCCAACAGGGCCCCCTCCCCACAGACCTCCCTGCTGCTGCTGCTGCTGCTGAGCCCCGGCCTCTGCGGGACCCCAGACTGCTCCTTCCCCCACAGCCCCATCAGCTCCACCTTCGCGGACACAATCCGCAAACTGGTGAGTGCCCTCCAGCCTCCGCGCTGGCGCTGAGCCTGAGCCCCTCTCCCGCCCGGCCTCGGTCTGGCTCCCTGTCCCCCTCGCCCAGGTCCTCTCCATAGTCTGTCTCCTCCGTCCTCAGCCAGCTGCACCCATTTCCTCCCGCAGTCTGACTACCTGCTTCAAGACTACCCAGTCACGGTCGCCTCCAACCTGCAGGACGTGAGTCACAGATGGGAGGGACCGGGATGGAGATGGGAAAGCGACTCGATGCACCAGCAGGGGACCGGGCTGGTTTGCGATCCCTCTGACCCCGGAGTCCAGGCCCCCAGCCCCCCAGCCCCACCTCCCTCAGATCCAGGGGTCCAGGCCCCCAGCTCCTCCTCCCTCAGGCCCCCAACCCCTCCTCCCTCAGACCCAGGGGTCCAGCCCCTCCTCTCTCAGACCCAGGGGTCCAGCCCCTCCTCCCTCAGACCCCGGATTCCAGGAGCCAGCCTCCCAGCCCCCCAGCCCCACCTCCCTCTGACCCCGGAGTCCAGGCCCCCAGCCCCACCTCCCTCAGATCCAGGGGTCCAGGCCCCCAGCTCCTCCTCCCTCAGGCCCCCCTCCTCCCTCAGACCCAGGGGTCCAGCCCCTCCTCCCTCAGACCCAGGGGTCCAGCCCCTCCTCCCTCAGACCCCGGATTCCAGGAGCCAGCCCCCCAGCCCCACCTCCCTCTGACCCCGGAGTCCAGGCCCCCAGCCCCCCAGCCCCACCTCCCTCTGACCCCGGAATCCAGGCCCCCAGCCCCCCAGCCCCACCTCCCTCAGACCCCGGGGTCCAGGCCCCCAGCCCCTCCTCCCTCAGACCCAGGAGCCAGACCCCCAGCCCCTCCTCCTGAGACCCCTCCCCGCTACCCCTCTGCCCAGGGGGCCCCAGAGCTTGGCTGTCTTCCCAGGACAAGGTCTGCGGGGCCTTCTGGCGCCTCGTGCTGGCCCAGCGCTGGATGGGACAGCTCAAGACTGTGGCGGGGACCCAGATGGAAAAGCTGCTGGAGGATGTCAACACGGAGATAGACTTTGTCACCTCCTGTGCCCTCCAGGTCAGCCCTGAACTTGGGGTGCAAGTGAGGGAGGAGCTGCCTTCCTAGGGAATGGGGGACTCGGCTCAGCTCGGCCTGACTGGGGTTTCTTTTGTCCGGAGCAAAAGTGGGGCCGGGTGCTGGGGACCGCACCCCTCTGAGCCCCGAGGGAGTCTGGCGGGGGAGCTGGGCCCGGTGCAGGGGCTGGATTTCTTTCTCAGGCCCCGCTGCAGGGCGTTGCTAAGGGGTTCTCTCCCCTAGCAACCAGGAGAGGGGGGGGGTGTCTAAATGCCCTCTGGACTAGACCTCCCTGGGCCCTGTTGCTGGGCGTTGCTAAGGACGCTTTCCCCTAGCAACCGGGGAGAGCAGCGGGCCAAACTCTCCCTCAGGCCCGGGCCTCGCTGGGCCCCGTTGCCCGCCGGTTGCCGGGGCTGCTGGGCCTGAGGAGTGGCAGGGGGCGATCCGGTGGTGACGTCTCCCTCCCCTGCCCCCAGCCCCTCCCTAGCTGTCTTCGCTTCGTCCAGACCAACATCTCCCACCTCCTGCAGGACATCTCCGCGCAGCTGCGGGCCCTGAAGCCCTGGATCACCCGCCGGAATTTCTCGGGGTGCCTGGAGCTGCAGTGCCAGCCGGGTAACGGCTCCCAGCACCCCCTCCCAGGCCCTCCGCCTCTCCCTGCCCCCACCCTCAGAGCCCCCCCCCCCCCCCCGCACCGCCTCCCGCACCGCCCTGCTCCCATCCGCTGCACTACTTTGGGCCTGTCCCCCCACGTTCATTCCCCTCTCTGGGCCTCAGTTTACCCATCTCTGGGAAGGGACAGCAATCCCTGCCCGTTTCTCTAAGGCGGCCCCGTGCCATAGAAATACAGTGCGTGGAGAGCTGCTTGTTTAAGTGTACAATTCCTAGTAGCCTTTTTTTTTTTTTTTTTTTTTTTTTACTTTTGGCATTTGGATTTTTTTTTAGGTTTTACTTATTTTTTTTCTAATTTCTTTATTGATGAAGGTATTACCTATGTATCCTTATTCCTCCATTACCCCCCACCTCCCATTCATGCCCCCACCCCCCTGTTGTCTGTGTCCATTGATTATCTAGTAGCCATTTTTTAAAAGGTAAGGGAGGCGGGGGAAAGCCCTGGCCCTGGCTGGTTTGGCTCAGTGGGTGGAGCTACGGAGCAACAGCCCGAAGACTAAAGGGTCCCGGGTTCAACTCCAGACAAGGGCATGTGCCTTGGCTTCAGGAGGCAACCAAGCGATGTGTCTCTCGCACATGGATGTTACTCTCCCTGTCTCCCCCTCCCTTCCACTCTCTCTACATATCAATGGAAAAACACCCTCGGATGAGGATTAACAACAAAGCCCTGTTGTGACTCAGTGGGTTGGGCGTCATCTCTTGCATTGAGAGGTCACAGATCTGATTTCTGGTCAGAGGTCAGGGCCCACACAGCCGGGTTGTGGTGCTGGATCCCTCATAATGGGTGTGCAGGAAGCAGCCGATCCAGATCAACGTTTTGCCGGCACCGGTTTGGCTCAGTGGATAGAGCGTCGGCTTGCGGACTGAAAGGTCCCGGGTTCGATTCCGGTCAAGGGCATGTACCTTGGTTGCGGGCACATCCCCAGTAGGGGGTGTGCAAGAGGCAGCTGGTCGATGACTCTCTCTCATCGACGTTTCTAACTCTCTATCCCTCTCTCTTCCTCTCTGTGAAAAATCAATAAAATATATTTTTTTTTAAAAAGAAAAAGATCAACGTTTTGCCGAAACTGGTTTGGCTCAGTGGATAGAGCATCGGCCTGCAGATTGAAAGGTCCCGGGTTCGATTGTGGTCGAGGGCATGTACCTTGGTTGCGGGCACATCCCCAGTAGGGGGAGTGCAGGAGGCAGCTGATCAATGTCTCTCATCAATGTTTCTAACTCTCTATCCCTCTCCCTTCCTCTCTGTAAAAAAATCAATGTTTCTCTCTCACATTGGTGTTTCTCTCTTTCTCTCAAATCAATTTTTAAAAAAGATATTTTATTGATTGTTTTTTACAGAGAGGAAGAGAGAGGGATAGAGAATTAGAAACATCAATGAGAGAGAAGCATCCATCCATCAGCTGCCTCTTGCACATCCCCTACTGGGAATGTGCCCACAACCAAGGTACATGCCCTTGACCGGAATCGAACCCAGGACCTTTCAGTCCGCAGGCTGACGCTCGATCCACTAAGCCAAACTGGTTTCGGCTCAATTTAAAAAATATTTTTAAGTTAAAAGAAAAAAGGTAAATTCACTCTTGTTTAGGATATTTATATTCTGTCACCCTTATCATGGTTTTATTCAGTCTTCCCGATCTTGTAAACCTTGCCTACTAGATCTGTCAAGTCCTGAGAGGGATATTTTGTTTATTTTCTTCTTAAGAAGGATCTTTTTAAAAATTCTCACCCTAGGTTGAATTTTCTCAATTCTTCCCAAATTTCCAATCTTTCTCACTCCTATTGAGCTCTGTCTGTCATTTGTATTTATATTTAGGACTATTCAATTGCTCAACCAGATATTTTTCTTCTTCTTTTTTCCCCCTTTGTTTTCGGTAATCCTCACCCGAGGATTGATTTAGAGAGCGGGGAAGGGCGGGGGAAGAAGAGAGAGATCGGCTGCCTCCCCCACGCCCTCTAATGGGGATCAAGCCCACAGTCCCGGTGTGTGCCCTGACCAGGGAAATTGTTCATCATCACCCGAGGATACTTTCCCATTGATTTTTAGGGAGTGGAAGGGAGGGGAGGTGAGTGAGAGAGACACATTGATCAGTTGCCTCCCTGCACACGCCCTGACCAGGGCCAGGATTACGTGTCCTTGACTGGTATCCAACCCATGAGCCAGTCCACAAGCCAGTGCTCTCTCCACTGGGTCAAACCTGCTAGGGTACAAAGTCATATATATATTTTTTAAGGAACAACTGTTACTTAATAGAATGCAATCTATGGCTTACAACATTTTTAAAAATGTTTTTATTGATTTTACGGAGAGAGGAAGAAAGAGAACGATAGAAACATCAATAGAGAGAAACATCAACATCAATGGGCTGCCTCCTGCACACCCCGCACTGGGGATGTGCCTGCAACCAACGCACATGCCCTTGACCAGAATCAAACCCAGGACCCCTCAGTCTGCAGACCGATGCTCTATCCACTGAGACAAACCGGTTTCAGCAAACTGGTGACCTCTTGGTGCATGGGTCAATGCTCAACCACTGAGCCATACCAGCCGGGCTGTAAATTTTATATATATATATATATATATATATATATATATCCTCATATATATATCCTTATATATATATATCCTCACCTGAAGATATATTTCCATTGACTTTTAAGAAAAAAATATATTTTATTGATTTTTTTACAGAGAGAAAGAGAGAGGGATAGAGAGTTAGAAACATCAATGAGAGCCCAAATTGGTTTGGCTCAGTGGTAGAGCGTCGGTCTGCGGACTGAAAGGTCCCAGGTTCGATTCCAGTCTGGGGCATATACATTGATTGCGGGCACATCCCCAGTAGGGGGTGTGCAAGAGGCAGCTGGTCGATGTTTCTCTCTCATCAACGTTTCTAGCTCTCTGTCTCTCTCCCTTCCTCTCTGTAAAAAATAAATAAAATATATTTAAAAAAAAAAACATCAATGAGAGAGAATCATCGATCAGCTGCCTCTTGCACACCCCTACTGGGAATGTGCCCGCAACCAAGGTACATGCCCTTGACCGGAATCGAACCTGGGACCTTTCAGGTTGCAGGCCAATGCTCTATCCACTGAGTCAAACCGGTTTTGGCTTCCATTGACTTTTTAGAATGTAGGAGGGGGAAAGACAGAAAGAAACATCTCATGTGAGAGAGACATTGACTGGTTGCCTTTTGCACAAGCCCCAGCCTGGGCCCGGGCTGGGGAGGAGCCTGCAACCAAGGTATATGCCCTTGACCGGAATCGAACCTGGGACCCTTCAGTCCACAGGTCAATGCTCTACCCAGTGAGCCACACCGGCCAGGGCTGTAAATTATATTTTTCTAATGTTACTTAGTGAGCACCAGGTAGTAGGTTCTAGGAATAAATAAGACAGATAAGAGTCCTTGCACCACATGCAGCTCCTGGACGATCAGGGCAAGAGGAAGACACACAAAAGCACCAGAGCACTTGCTCATTTCTAGAACATTCGGCCTCCCTATGTGCCAGACACTGTCCCAAGCCTTCCTCGTGCACTCATTCCATTTCTGTGACCGCCTGAGGACATAGGGATAATGTTATCCATTTTATGGATCAGGAGACAGGCACAGAGAGGCCGGGAGCCCACCCGAGGTCGCACAGCGGCACCCGGGAGGCCTTTCCCGGCCTGACCCTTCCCCCTCGGTCCTCTCTCCCCGCAGACTCCTCCACTCTGCTGCCCTCAGCGAGTCCCCTGGGCTTGGCAGCCACAGCCCTGCCGGACCCTCAGGCCTCTTTGCTGTTCCTGCTGCTGCTGCCTGCGGCTCTGGCACTGCTGACCGCCGCCTGGTGCCTGGGCTGGCGGAGGAGGAGGCGGCGGAGGCCCTGCCCCGGGGAGCAGGTGAGCCAGCGGGGTGGGCAGGGGGGCTGGGGTTGGCTCTGGGGGGGCCAGGTGGACCCGCCTCCAGTGCCCAGACCACCGGCTCATCTGGGCGAGTCTGGCCTTGGTGTGTGTGCAGGGCGGGAGCAGTGGAGGCGGGTCAGGTTTGTTGCTGGTAGGCCATAAGGGGACAGACTGGGAGAGAGAGACTGGAGGCGGAGGAGGAGGCTGGGAGGGTGCAGGGAGAGAGGACCAGGGCTGAGGCCGGCTGGGACCAGGGGGATGGGGAGAAGGCCGGGGCAGTCAGGGAGCAGGCTGGAGACTGGCAGGCTTGGGGGTGGCACAGGCGACCAGGGTCTGGCCCGGTGACTGGGTGGGCAGTGGCGCCTGGGGGAAGGGGGGGAGTCGGGACAGACAGTGAGCTCAGCAGGATCTGTGGGAGAAATGGGGATGCAGGAGTTTACGGAGTGTGGCTGCCTGGAGTGTAGGGGGGGAGGGGCCTTTGCAAAGCCCTGCCAGTGTGAAAAAGCTCAGCGTGTCCCAGGGACTTAGGCAGGTGTGGGTGGGGTTTGGAAAAATGCCACAGGAAAACCCAGGCCTCACATGCCTGGCAAGGAAGCTGGGACTTCCTGCCCAGGGCAGCAGCCAGCTGGAGCGTGTGATGGAGCCAAGCACCTGAGATCGGGTGTGGGGAAGAGGTCGGGGGGGTCAGGAGAGAGGAAAGAGGGAGGCTCTGGTGTGTTCCAGACCGGCCCAGAGGGGGCGGACTAGCGCCATGTCCCTGTGATCACGTGCACATACAGGCCCTGTGGGGAGGTTTTCCAAACTCACTCCCTTAACTGAGAAGCTGGGGCATTGTCCCCGATTCACAGGGGCCGACACGGGGATAATGCACAGAGAGGTCTATCACTGGCCGGAAGTCACACAGCTCATGAATGGCAGACTCCAGATTTGACTCTGGCTTCTGTTTTGCCTCAGTTTCCTCACCTGGACAAAACACTAAGAATAGCCCTGCCATAGAGTGAGTGAGTCACTCTAAAGGTAAAGAGTGGCATATGCAGAGTCCAATAGGAACAGATCACAAGCCACACAGGGTTTGCAATTTTCCAAAGGGCCTATTAAAAAAAAAAAAAAAAAGATTTTATTCCACCCTGTGTGTCCAAAATGTTCTTTCCACATGTAAGTCAATATTTTACAAAACGACTAACGGTATGTTTCCCATCCTTTTTTCATACCGAGTCTTCCCTGCGCAGGCTCCCTTCACAGCCCGCCTCCATGGGGTTCGGCGGGAAACCCTCCCTCGGGCCCCAGGTTTCTGGAAGGCGCAGCCGCAAAAGCAGATCCACTTGCTCCCGCGGTTGGAAACATGCAGTTTCCCAACTCGTGGGTCGAGGATCGGTTCCTAAGTTGTGACTGGTTTTCATTTCCAAATGCGTTTGTTTCCGAGCGGTTCTTCCAGGTCTGAGAGGTTTTCTGCCTGGTTTGTCCCGGTCCACGTGTTTCCCCTCTCCCACTCACCACACATCGAATTAGAGAAAAATGTGCAACTCGGGGGCGCGGAGCCCACGGGGGGGGGGCGCCCGGAGCGCGGAGGCCCCGGCGCCGCCCTCGCCCCCCCCACCGAGGGGCCTCCCGCCCGGAGGCAGACCGTGTGCCCCCCGTTTTACAGCGAACCCCGAGGCCCGGAGCGAGGAGCCAGCCTGCCGAGGACGCGGAGCCGGCGCTCGGAGGAAGCCAGCCGGAGCCCGGGGCCTGCCCGGGCGGCGCTGCCCCCGCCCCGGCGCCCCCGGCACAGAGGCCCCGCCAGCCCCGCCCGCCCGCCCCGCCCGCCCCGCTCTGTACGCGGCCCTCGTCCCCGGCAGCTTGTACATAAACCTTCCTTTTCCACCCGCGCTGCTCAGCCTGTCTGTTGGGGTCCACGGGGGGCGGCGTCTTGGGCTCCCAGAGAACGCGGGGGTTCACCAGGGCCTGCTTCCGGAGGCTGCCCGGGCCCGGGGACGATGCCGGGCTCTGCTGGCGGACCCCGCCCTCACCCCGTCCCCAGTCAGCGGCGCCCAGCCCTCGGCGGTTCCTGGTCAGGGTGGGGGGAGACGCGGGACACAGGCAGCCTCGGACCCCGGAGGAGGCACTTGACGCCCCGGCGGGCCACCGCATGCCCGGCAGCCTTCGGCCGCTGGAGGGGGTGCCCGCGCTTTCCCGCTGCGTCGGGCTGCTGGCGCGAGGGCGGTGAACAGTCCCTCAAAAACATGGCGGCCGGGGCGGGACGGCCCGCCCGCGCGGAGCCCCGCTCCCGCCCCACGTGACCTGCCGCCCCGCACAATCATGGCCACCCAGGTCCTGCTGGGAGCCGGCCCCGGATTGGACGCTCAGAAGAAGGCCCGCCCTCTCGCGGGGCCTCAGCGCGCACGCGCGCGACCGTGGCCAATGAGACGACGGGAAGCTGCCCGCGTAGGCCGCGCGGCGTCATCTCCTCCGCCCCTGTTGCAAGGGATAAGAAACCCTGCGCCAAGGCTTCCTCCTTTCCCAGGCGGCTGCCGAAGATGGCGGAGGGGCAGGTGCGGGCTCCGCGCGGGCCGTGGCGGCGAGGGGCCGGGTGGGGGCCGGGCTGGACCGGGGTCGGGTCCTCTCTCCCTTCGTACGTGCGCAGCGGAACTTTAGCTCCATAAACCGAGCGGAACGGAGAGCTGAGGCGGCCCCGTGCGGGGAAACGGGAGATACTGGGACTGTCTGTGACCGGGGCCGGGGAAAGGCGGCATCGCTCCTCTCCGAGGGGCGGCTTCCAGCCCAGGAAGAGCCGTTTTTAAAACTGTTCTGTTTTCCTTGATCCGGGCTGGTGCTGGGGGGGACTTGGACCCGCGTGTTTGTGGCGACCGGGAAGCACGTGGGAGGCGGCCGAGAAGCCCGGGGATTCGCCAAAATGGAGTCCCTTTCATTCCCCCAGACGGCCTAGCTCTGCTCTCCCGAGGGAGTGCCAGGCGGGCTCCTCCTGCATCTGGGGGTGTTTGGGCACGAAATACAAAACAGTGGGTCCAAAGAGCTCTTGCCACGAGGCTTTCAGGAACAAATGGTGCTTTTCCCTTTGCTTTTGGGTTTGAGGGTGCTTTAAGGTGCTGCTGCTATTAAAGCAGAAGACGTGATTAAATGCCCCGGAGCCCTGCCAAGTCCTTTGTCCCTAAGCACTCGGTCTTAATCGAAGGCACAGCAGCTCACATCCGGGTGCCCTGGGCCGGGGGAGGGATGGATCCTTGCGTGTTTCGTGCGCCGGGTCTGCAGTTGGGAGCCAGTGCGGAGTCAGTCCCCTGAGCGTGTCCCCGCATTTGCTGTGTGCCTGGCCCAGTTTGCAGTGTATTTCCTGTAACTTGAGATCACAACGTTTCTGAGGCAGATATTTGTTATCCTCATCTTCCAGGGGAGGAAGTGGAAGCATGGAGAGCTGCAGATCTTTGCCCAGAGTCACATTGTCAGGAAGTCTGGCTTTAGATTCTGTACCTTTCTGCCTGCCAACAATCGGCACTCCATAGCGAGGGGACTTTTGCCCTTGATGAAGAAGCTGTAATCTGGGCATAAAAACCCCTGCCCTTCGAGCAGCCGAGGTGTGAGAGGAGTTCTTACCCTGCTCATTGAAATCCCGAGTCAACCATTTGCTATTTTGGCCTCGTCTGTAAAGTGAGCCTGGGGTCCTAGGCCTGGTGCCCGGATAGGAGGCACCCTGGGGGTTAAGGTGTCAGAAACGGCGAACAGCGGTTGCTTGGGGTGGGAATCGGAAAGTTCTGGGTGACTGAGCCCTCCTGTCTTCAACAGGTCCTGGTGCTGGATGGCCGAGGCCATCTCCTGGGCCGCCTGGCGGCCATCGTGGCCAAGCAGGTGCTGCTGGGTAAGTGCCTGTGCCCACAGCCCAGGCCGGCAGTCAGTGATGAGCAGCAATCACCATCTTTCGTTTGAGTCTCACGACCATGAGATCAACCCCATGCACCGCTCTGAGACCTGCCGCCACCCTCTCCCCTGGGATTGGGAGCTGGGGGGGGGGGGTGTTAATCCTTTTGGGCAAATTCATTAAAGCATAAATGTAGCTCTGACCCAGCAAGGGCTTCCCCTGCTGGGCCCGCTGCTTTCTGGTCCCTGGTGGTGGTGTCCTGACCTGGCAGGATCATCCTTCCCGGATCCTCGGCTGGGCAGGGGGTGTCTTGGCTTAAGCCGCCCGTGAGTGCCTCACTTTCCTTCTCTAGGCCGCAAGGTGGTGGTTGTGCGCTGTGAGGGCATCAACATTTCTGGAAATTTCTACAGAAACAAGTGTAAGTTATGGCAGCGGAAGGCTGGAGCATTAAGCACACCCCCCCCCCCTCGGGTTGGAGGTGCTATGAGTCCCAGAATAGGCCTTGGAGGTGGGTGTGGGGAGAAGCTGGGGTTTCCCTGGGGACTGCACCGCCTCACCTCTCCGCTCTCCTCAGTGAAGTACCTGGCCTTCCTCCGCAAACGGATGAACACCAACCCATCCCGCGGCCCCTACCACTTCCGAGCCCCCAGCCGCATCTTCTGGCGGACGGTGCGAGGTGAGCTGGGCCCGGGGCCGCAGGTGGGGCCGGGCGGGGGGGTGGCCCGTGATGAGGACTTCTCCCACTCAAGTTCGAGTTTCCCGACCGTGAGATGACTCCACATGCACTACCATCTGAGGCCGCCGCTCCGCCGGCCGGGCTGCGGGGCCGCTATGGGCCCCCCTGAGCCTGCTGTTGCCCCTCTGCCCGCAGGCATGCTGCCCCACAAGACCAAGCGCGGCCAGGCCGCCCTGGACCGCCTCAAGGTGTTTGACGGGATCCCGCCACCCTATGACAAGGTGAGAGACCAAGCCCGTCCCGGCATCCATGTCTGCCGGCGTCCGTGATGATCCTCGATTACCTACATTGTTTGAGCCCCGTGAGAACAACCCTGGCTGAGACGCCTGCCCCCAGCCAGCCTTCCTCCCGCCCGTCCTCACAGCTCCCTAAGCCCCGCCCCTTCTCCAACAGAAAAAGCGGATGGTGGTTCCCGCCGCCCTCAAGGTTGTGCGCCTGAAGCCCACCCGGAAGGTGAGTCCAGGTTACGTGAACAGACCGACATGGGGGGCTGAACCCGGGTCCCAGGACTGGCACATGATGGTTTTTTCTCACGATGGTCTGCGGAGGCCACTGGGCACTGCCGAAAACGCCAATGGCTTAGCTGATGCCAGGAGGAACACGGGGCCCCCTTACACAGGGGGTGGGTGTTTTCTGATTTAAACTTGGGTCCTGTGAGCGGTCTTCAGCCCCTCTCCCCAGTCTAGGCTCCCATTTATTTACAACTTCATTCCCCCCACCCCAGTTTGCCTACCTCGGGCGCCTGGCCCATGAGGTTGGCTGGAAGTACCAGGCCGTCACAGCCACCCTGGAGGAGAAGAGGAAGGAGAAGGCCAAGATCCACTACCGCAAGAAAAAGCAGCTCATGGTGAGAGCGGGGCACGACAGGCCTGGGCAGGGGCACCCCAGTGCCGGGGGAAGGGTGGTCACAGGCAGCAGGCACTGACCACAGCCTGTTCTCACCCCGCAGAGGCTACGGAAACAGGCCGAAAAGAACGTGGAGAAGAAGATTGACCAATTCACAGAGGTCCTCAAGACCCACGGACTCCTGGTCTGAGCCCAATAAAATTGACTGTTATTCCTCATGCTTAGCCTGGCCTGCCCTTCCTCCATCGCCGCCCTAGGATGGGGGGAGCCCCAGGGAGCTGTTCCGGGGCCACAGGCACCTTACCCCGAGCCTTAGGAGGCTGGGACAGAGGGGCCTTAGTCACTGCTATTGGCCCTGTCAGTTGGGCACACTTTGCCTGTGACCTGCTCAGTTTTAGGAAATGAGCAGCTGGAACAGCTAGTTGCTTTTCAGCGTTTCTAAGCTGGAAAACTCAACTTCCCACAAGATACTAGCCTGTAGCTGTTAGGATGTAGCACATGCTGGGGGCAGGATGGAGCTGGTACTGTACAGAGGGATTGACAGATGCACAGGCAGGACGTCGGCCAGGCTCCGGCATCGCACTTGCACGTTCCTGTACCTTGTGATCAGAAAATGAATAAATTATTTTTAAAGAAGTTTGGCGTCTTTGCCGTGTGTGTCTGCTACGGAGGCCAGGCCCCTGGGGAGGGGGAACCGTCCACAGATAATGGATGAGTTCATAACATGTCATGTGGGAGGATTCACCTTTCTGGAGATTGACCTGCCAACAATTCAAACCATGGTTTCCTCTGATGCCCCAATTGACAAAGCTGGCCACGCTCTGCGGCTGCAAGGTGTGGGGCTGGCCCCGTTTTAAAGCCACCCCTTCTGTGGGACAAGGGATATTCCAGTCCTCATCCAGTCTTCCCGGGGAGAAGTGGGCAAGAAACTGCGTTACAATTGGATATTGGAGTGGGTGTTTAGGACGGAATTGGGCAGGTTAGATCTGCCTGGTGAGCCCCTGAAAGGGTACGTGAACAGGTGGGAGCCCTCGGCTCACGTTGATCACCCCCATCAGGCCCTCTCCCTTTCACTGATGAGGTTTAGAGTCACCTGATCCAGTGGCAAACCCTGAATTCCACACAAAGGAAAATGTCCTGGGAAAGCAGCCGAATTCACGCAGCCGCTGTGATTGGTGTGCGATCTTTAGAAATAATTTCCTAATTCCGTTCATTCAAATGCCTGACCTCCACACGGAGCGAGTTGAGGGTCATTCGCAGGCCAGTCACAACTCGAACCCCTGCCTTTCTCTCCTGGGTCATCTTTCCAAAATGGCCAAGATAAGACAGCTTAGGTTTTCTCAATCGATAACGGGTGGTGACCACCCCGCCTTAGTTCCTGGGTTCTGCCTCCAAAAGCAACTGAAGACGGGAAGCTTGATTCTAAAATCTGGCAAAACGGTTAAAGCAGCACAATCACCAAAATCACGATCTATTAAAAACACCACTTCAGCCGAGACCGGTTTGGCTCAATGGATAGAGGGTAGGCTTGGGGACTGAAAGGTCCCGGGTTCGATTCCAGTCAAAGGCATGTACCTTGGTTGCGGGCACATCTCCAGTAGGGGGTGTGCAAGAGGCAGCTGGTCATGACTCTCTCATCGATGTTTCTAGCTCTCTATCTCCCTTCCTCTCTGTACAAAATCAATAAAATATATTTAAAAAAAAAACACTTGCCACTTCAGATGATGGCAAGCCACAGACAGAAAATACCTGCAAATCTTTAAAGGACTTCCATGCCAAGTATGTATATTTAAAAACCTCTTAAAATGCAGTAAATGAAAATTAGGCAAAGCTTTGAATAGATAGAAGGTATATATACAAATAGCCAATAAGCATCTGAGAAGATACATTTAATAGTAGAGAACAAAAATAAAATCTCGGTGCACAAATGCAAGGAATCAAAAGCTCCAGTGACCACCAAAGCATGTGAGCATAGCTGTCCAGTCCATGGGAGTGCCATAAGGGAGGTCTTGGTTTTTGTGCTTTTCGATAATGATTTCAGAGAGAGAGAGAAGAGAAATGTCAATGCCTCCTGCATGCCCTCCACCAGCGATTGAGCCCACAACCCGGGCATGTGCCCTTGACCAGAATCCCAGAACCGAATCTGGGACCCTTCAGTCCATAGGCCAGCCCTCTATCCACTGAGCATGCCGGCTAGGGTAGGAGTGTCTTGTTTTAATAGGCATTTCTGTGCTCAGTGGGGACGGCTCCAGATTTAGTCGTGGCATTTTTGTTATGAGTGCTGGGAAACTCTGAAATCTGGCAGCGGTGGCTGAAGTTTATTATTGGACTGCTTATAATGCAGGTGAAAAAGCCAACTTAGCCATAAACTAGGTAAGTGAAATACAAATGAAAAAGGGGTGGGGTGGGGGGCTGCAGGAAGGAAGGAAGGAGTTAAAAGTCAGCCGGGAAAGGAGGCAAGGAGACAGCAGAGGAAGAAAAGGTGTTTGATGAGACTGAATGCCGCTTCCTATTGTGGGTTCCGCTCAGAGCGCTGCAGAGCTGAGGACCCAGAGCCTTCCAGTGTGAAGCAGTGTTTCTTTCATTTGCTTTTCTCTTATCACCAAGATCTCCCCCAACCACTCTCAACAATGTGCAAAATACTGAGCATCCGAAAAGCCAGAGGAAATCACACCTAATCGCTCGCCTGGAGACCTAAACCGCTGGGCGCACACTCTCTTTTAGCTTTTTTCTAAGTAACCTTCATGCAGGTTAACACGCGTTATGGATAACAGCGGTGGGCCCTGCCTTAAAAAACAAAACAAAACAAAAAAACACCCACAAACTTATATCACAGGTACTTTCCGAATCATTCAAAAACTCTAGGAACTACTTTTTCCTACGAAGAAAAGTGATAAAGATAATGCAGGAGTTCTAAAACAGAAAGTCCCCGTTAACGCTAACCCCATAAAGGACAACCGCCACAAATAAAAAATGTATCGTTGAACATTCACAAAGCTATCAATTGTAAAACAAATTTAAACTAAACTTTCAAAAGACATTTTTTTTAAAGTTTATAAGCATTCATATGTAATGTGTCCTGTCCTGTACTGCCCAACGTGGTGGAGGCTGGCGCCGTGTAATTTTATTTTATTTATTTACTTATTTAAAATGTCTTATTGATTTTGTACAGAGAGGGAGAGAGATAGAATCAGAAACATCGATGAGAGAGTGATCGATCAGCTGCCTCCCGCACACCCCCCACCAGGTATATGCCCTTGTTCAGAATCGAACCCGGGTCCCTTCAGTCCCCAAGCCAACGCTCTATCCAATGAGCCAAACCGGTTTCGGCGTGGCGCCGTGTAATTTTAAATCTAATGAGATTAAAGTGAAAAGTTCAGGACCTCAGGGGCTACGGTGTTGGAAAGCGCAGACATTTCCATTATCGCAGAAAGGTGTCGCGATCCGCGCCGTTACAGACAGAAAATCAGGAGGGGGGCCCTGGGAGGAAACGGGACACCAGAGAACAACTTTCCCTGGAAAAGCGCAGGAGCAGCCCCCGCCTCTCACTAAGTCGGCGGCGCCGCCGCAAAAGGACCTAATACTTCACGATCTCCCTCCCGACAGGAAGATGGCGGCCACCTTGTCCCGCTCCGGCGCTGTACGGACACAGCCACGCGGTCCCCAGGGCCCACGTGACCTTACGGCGCGCAGAATTCTGACCGCCTCCCTGTCACTCTCGCGATAACATGGGAAGGCTCCAGGCTGGCCACGCCTCCCTCCTAATGTGAACGAGCGCGTCCAGACCATGGATGGCTGAACTATCGCGAGACGGTGCCCACCCGCCTCTCCGCCCCCCGCCATCATTGCGGCGTCGGTGCCGTCGTCCAATCACCTGCTTGCTCAGCGTCGTCGGCCAATCATAGGTGCGCCCAAGGCCCCGCCCCAAACCGTGCTACCGGGTCCCCTGTTTCGTCACTTCCTCTCCAGCCCCTGCGCAGTCGGTAAGGAAACCCGGACGCCCCAGTGGCTTTCTTTTTTTCAAGCGGCGCGAAGATGGCGGACATTCAGGTGCGAGCTCGCGGCCGACGCCGCGATGGCGGGGCCTTCCCGGGCCTCAGGGGCTTGTCCAGGAGAGCGGGACCCTGCGCCCCGGTTGGGGAGTTAATTCCGCGCGCCCCGGATTTCGCGGCGGCTAATTCGGGCAGAGGAGAGGGCCCGTGTCTGCGTTATCCGGATTTGCGCCGCCTCCATCCCGGCGCACATTAGATAAAAAGTGGATCCTGGGTGGATGTCTTTGTGTCTTGGACAATAATTCTTGCTGAAAGGTGTCCGAGATGCGGTTCTGACTCCGGGTTCTGCAGGCGGTGGGAAGTGCCTGAGAGTTTAAATGCTGAAGGAACCCCGGGTTAGGTTCCCATCTGAATGAGAGGGACCTCTGGGCTCAAAGTGTTCCCGGAGGCCGTTCTGGGGCCGGAGGTCTTGTAGGGTTGGGGTGTGGGGGTCCCGGGAAGGTCTGCGGGCGGCTCCGGGCTCACCGGCTCCCTCGCCCCTGCAGACGGAGCGAGCCTACCAAAAGCAGCCCACCATCTTCCAAAACAAGAAGAGGGTCCTGCTGGGAGAGACCGGCAAAGAGAAGCTACCTCGGTACTACAAGAACATCGGCCTGGGATTCAAGACGCCCAAGGAGGTACGGACCCTGGGGGGAAAGAAGGGGACCCGTCTCCGCACGTGTGCCCGGCTCAGCTGCCCTGCCCACTTCCGCGTGTCTCCCCCGAGGGCTGCTGGGAATTGTAGTTTGTCTCTGAGGCCACACACCACCGCTGTTCTTTCCAGGAACGACCTACTCAAGCCTTATTTATTTATTTTTTGAATCATGTTACTGATTTTATTTTTACAGAGAGGGAGGGGATAGAGAGTTAGAAACATCCATCAGCTGCCTCCTGCACACCCTTACAGGGGATGTGCCTGAAACCCTGGCGTGTACTCTTGAACCTGGGACCCTTCAGTCCGAAGGCTGATGCTCTATCCACTGAGCCAAACCAGTTAGGGCAAGCCTTACTTTAAAAAAAAAAAAAAAAAAAAAAACATTGTTGAGAGTATTACGGACACACGCCTCTTTCCCCATCACCCCCAAGCCTAACTTCTTTTCCTTGTCCCTGCAGGCCATTGAGGGCACCTACATTGACAAGAAATGCCCCTTCACCGGTAATGTCTCCATCCGAGGGCGCATCTTGTCCGGTGAGTGCCGCAGTCGGGGGCTTGGGTCCAGTTTTCTGGTTCTGAGGGAGGAGGGGCTGGAGGCACTCCCCGGCCTTGGGCCCTGGCAGGTAATGTCTGTCTTCACGATGGTATTCAGACGCCTGTGGCAGGCGCTGCTGAGAAAGCCGACTGGCAGCGCTGATGCCAGAACCGAGGTTTCTTAACGCCGCCTGGCAGCTCCCAGCATGCTCTGGGCTGCCCGGGTCCCCCTTCCCAAGGAGCCTGACCCACGGCCTCCCTCCCCCAGGCGTGGTGACCAAGATGAAGATGCAGAGGACCATCGTCATCCGCCGGGACTACCTCCACTACATCCGCAAGTACAACCGCTTCGAGAAGCGCCACAAGAACATGTCGGTGCACCTGTCCCCCTGCTTCCGGTGAGCGCGGGCGGCCACCCTGGGGGGGTGTGGGTGGGGGGCTGCCGGGGGTCTCAGTGACATGGGACACCTGGGTGCCTGTGGGGGCTGGGGGCGTGGGGCTGCCACCGCCAGTGAGCCCCCAGAATGGAGGTGTGTCTGAGCATCTCTGCACAGTGTGGAGCCTGGTGCCTCGCACAGAGCTGTGCTCAGTAATGACGAGGGGCGGCTGGAACCGGGAACTGAAGCTTGGCTGAGGCCTCGCCCCCGACCCCCATGTAACATCCACGCCGCCCCCTCCCCAGAGACGTCCAGATCGGCGACATTGTCACCGTGGGCGAGTGCCGGCCCCTGAGCAAGACGGTGCGCTTCAACGTGCTCAAGGTCACCAAGGCCGCCGGCACCAAGAAGCAGTTCCAGAAGTTCTGAGCTGCCCGCCCCGCCCTGCCCCGCCAATAAAGCTATTTTCTGTCACAGCCGCTCGGTGTCTGGCCTCACCGGAGGGAGGTACGTCCCTGGGGACGGGGCAGGTTGATGAGAAGGATGGGGGTTTACCCTCCGGCCTGAGAGTGGGGGTGGGGACCACGTTCCACCCCCTGTCCTATCTGGGCAGAGACGGTCTGTGTTAAAGATGCTGTACTTCCCGGCTCCTTTGGTCCTAACCACCTTCTACCTGTCACTGAGCTGCTGCTGCACCCCTCACCCCCCTTTTTCCCCTCCCCGTCCCCATCCCTGTCCCTGGGGAGGAAGTGAGGGGGGGGCTTTCTGGCCTCCGTGGGGAGGGGGTGAAGAAGCACCCGCAGCCTGGGCCTTGCCCCTCACCTGGCCTTCCTCTGACAGCTGGGGGGGGGGGCAAGGCAGGGGCTCCCCTTGTAAGTCCCCCTCCCCAATGGGCACCATGCCCCTCTGCAGATGGGCAAGCTCCTCTGAGGGGCACTTCCTTTGCCTGGAGATCCAAGTAAGGGCATCGGTCTTAGGTCTTAGCCAGGCCCGGCCGGAGGGCAGAGCCGGGCGCAGGCAGCTCAGACTGGCCAGGAAGCCCGGAGGCGGGGCCGGGAGGACAGACCCGGCAGGGCCTTGGGTGGAGAGGGAACAGGAGGGGGCGGAATGGGTGGTCATGCAAACGCGGAAAGATTGCTGACAGCCGGGGAGCGGGAGACACCGAGATAAGACATAACAGAGGGCTCAGCTGGGCACCACAGGGCCAGACCCGGGTGGTACAGGCCCCGATCTCAGAAAAGGGACCCTTCAGAGAAGGAAGGGCAGGAGGGGAGACCCTCACCCGCGGAGGCTGGAGGAGGAGGGCTGGCTGGAGCTGCTGGGCCCCCAGGCCCTGCCCCCCATGCCTGTACCAGGGGCCGCACGCCATGGTACAGGGTTGGGAGACGGGGCCTGGGGAGAGGAGCGCTGGTCCCGGGAGTGGCTCGCGATCAGCTGCAGCCGGCTTGGCCCGGCTTTTAGCGGCGCTGGAGGGCGGGATCCTGCGGAGGAAGTGGGGCCACATCAAAGCACAGGAAGGGGCAGGGGCAGGTCACAAGGGGGCACCGCCCGCGCCCCCACTTCAGCCTGCACGCCCGCCACACCTCTGGAGGGCGGGGGGCCCTGAGGGCGGGGCCTGGGACCCCCCTGCAGGTGCTTCCGTTCAGGGTGGGGCCTCCGTGTTTACAACAGCCCGGCTCCCCGGTTTCCTCCCAGCAGTTGTTGGGGCGTCTCCTGGTACCCCAACATGTCAGGCTGCCTCGTCACGGGTGGGGCTGGCCTGGTCTGCACTGGGGGCCCCTCTGGTGGGCCTGGGGGTCACAGACCGAGAAGACTCGGGGTGCCCCAGATCTCTCTGGCGTGAAGACCGGGGGGCCCTGGAACAGCCGGAGAGGCAGTTCCTGCCGGGTCCCAACGTGGGTGCCTCTCCCCTCCCCTCCCTCTGAGCCTCTGCCCTGGCTGTCCTGTACCCCGCACACTGCCCCAGGGTCCACCTGGCTCCCGCCCCCCTCCATGGTCTCCACAGCTTCAGCTTCCTAACCTCTTTCCTCGGCCAAACCCCTGGGCGCGCCCCCCCCCCCCCCCCCCCCCGCTTTGTTGATGGACAGGCAGGTCCTGTTTCCCATCTCCTCTCGGGTTTATTGTGATTTATTGTGCCTGCTCTGCACTGCGCTGCCAGGGCAGGAGGGCCCCGCTTCCCCAGGGCGCGGGGTGGGTGTGCCTGCTCCACACGGGCTGAACCCCCACCTTCTCAGGGAGGGTTTGACCAGACAATAACAGGAAGCAGCGCGCTGGGGCAGAAGCCTCCAAATAAACAGAGAGACCACAGGCTGCTTGAAGCCTCGCCTGCTGCTCGCAGCTCCGGGGCCTTGGGCCGGGACCCCCAGCCACAGAGCCTCAGTCGCCCGGTCTGTAAAATGGGTCCCTGCCCCTACGGGGAGGGTGAGCTGTGGTCACGTGAGCTACTGGGTGGACCTAGTTCCGTAAGTGGTTGGGGAAGTGACTGCCCCGGAGTCTGTTAGAGCAGGCGGGGGGCGGGGGTGCTTGGTGCAGCCGCCCCGTCCCTGTGTCCGTGGGCCAGTCCCAGGACCAGTCTTGGCCAGCGGCCCGGAGGTGTTGCGTGGTGTGGAATCCTGGGCCTGTCCTGGGGTTTTGAGTTTGTTTTCGCAGGCTTCTGGAATGTTCTGTCCCATACCTCTGATAGACCCAGGCACAGGGAAGTCAGCTCCAGGCAGTTTCAGGGCAGGGCCCTGGGTTTACCGGACCCCAGGTATCAGCCCCTGACGGGAGGGGCAGATGGGTGTGTGCTGAGGGATGGCGGCCCTCAGAGCCCTGCCCGCGCCCTGGCCTCCCTGCTGCGGCCCCGGGTCAGGGGTCAGGGGTCAGGGGCCGGGCCGCGGGGGGTGTTGGGACCCCGGGTCCTGTGCCAGGAGCTGCTGGCGCCGGGCCCCGTACCTTATGGCCCTGGGTTCAGGGAGGGGCACCTGCGGGCACTGAACCGGCCCGAGGGCTGCGAGGCCATCAGGTGCAGTGGTGTGTGTGTGATTGTGTGAGTGTGGTGTGTGAGTGTGTGGGGTGGGGGAGTGTGGGGTGGGGGCGTGTGTGTGGTGTGGTGTGTGTGTGTGTGTGGTGTATTTTAGTGCTGCCCTCAGCCAGCCGTGGGGAAACTGGGGCCTAACCGCAGTGGGCCCAGCTGTCCCCTGTTGTAACGGGGAGTAGTTCCTGCTGGAACATTCTAGAGGACACAACACCATTCCAGAGAGTTTTAGGGGCAAATCAAACCAGAGGCCATCGCTCTTGCCTTCGTTCGTTGACAATCACACGGCCGGTGTGGGAGGGCGTTCGGGGACGGTGTGCCCTGTACCTGCTGTGGCTTTGCAGAGCCCTCTCCTGAGCAGCACAGCCCCCCGCTTGGCAGGCCGCCCCGGCCAGTCTGGCTCAGTGGGTGTTACGCAGGCCCCAGCCGCGGCGCTGACAGCTGTTCGGTTCGGTGGAACAGCTGCTCTAACCGCCTGAGCTACCAGCCAGGACGGTCCTGAGGCCGGCACGGTGGGGGGCCCGCAGGTTAGGACCTGGTCCTGCGTAGCTTTCTATTGCCTGTGATTGGCCCCGCGGGGCGTGATTACAGGGCCGGGGGCCATGCTGGACTCCGGTCTCCAGAACAGACGGCACAGCTGTACCCCTTTAGGCCACTTTGTGGCTCCGGGTTCCGGCAGCCACTGGGCACCTCTGTGGTGTGGTGCCTGGACCGTCACCAGGAGCCTAAGTCTTCGTGGTGGGGTTCTGGCTGGTAGCTCAGCTGGTTAGACATCGTCCTGATGCACCGAGGTTTCGGGTTTGACCAGGGCACAAAAGAAGCAACCAATGAAAGAGTGGAACAGCCAAAACCGGTGTGGCTCAGTGGATAGAGCTTTGGTCTGCGGACTGAAAGGTCCCGGGTTCCATTGTGGTCAAGGGCATGTACCTTGGTTGCCGGCACATCCTCAGTGGGGGGTGTACAGGAGGCAGCTGATCGATGATTCTCTCTCATCAATGTTTCTAACTCTATCCCTCTCTCTTCCTCTGTAAAGCATCAATAAAATATATTTTAAAAAAAGTGGATCAACAATGTTTCTCTTTTTCTCTCTGATTCCCCCCCATGTTTTTTTTTTTTTTTTAATAAAAGACTTCATGCAACCAATGAAAGAGTGGAACAACAAATCAATGTTTCTTTTTCTCTCTCTCTCTCTCTCTCTTTTTTTTTTTTTTTTTTTAAGTAAAAGACCATGATAGGTCTAAGAGGCAATCTGCTAGGTTCCAGGCAGTGCTCAGAGGGGACACCCGAGTCCATTTGGTGACTCCAAGGCTGCATGAGGGAAGGCTGCGTCCATTGTAATAGGGCCCAGGGGGTCCTCTGAGCGCTCAGGGTCTGAGGACATTTCATCAGGAACCAGAGGCCTCAGTTAGAGTAGGTCTGCGAGGCGTCGAGTGATGGCTGATGGGACAGGCAGCAGGTCCTAGGACACCCAGTGATGGTGACACAGGGAAGGCCCAGGCAGTGCACAGGGCCCTGGGGGGGAGGGGGGAGGGGAGATCCAAGGCCTTGTCCCGGGGCTGTCCTGGGATTGGCTCAGGGCCCTCGTCAATAGAGCAGAACCCTGGGGGGGGGGGGGGGGTTAGCCTTCAGAGAAGGACCCAGGGCGCCTGAAGCTGCGCACAGGGCGTGGAGGAGGGCCTCGGGGCCTTAGTGGGCCTCATCCCCTATGGCCGGGACCTCAGTGAGGGAAAGCAGTCTAGCCAGACAGAAGGGGGGCGGGGGGGGGGGTCCTGGGTAAGTGATGGTTTTCTGCCAGCTGGAGGGGCCAGCAGGTCCTGGGGCTCTAATTGCTCCTATTTTTCTGTCTAATGATTTTGCTATCACTCTGACTAGTTCTCCATCTGTGTAACTTTTGTCTGTCTATATCTATTTTCCATCTATCCATCCATCTGACTCCTTGTCCATCTGTGTATTTACTTTTTAAATATATACTTTTGATTGGCCCATTGGGACATGATAACAGAGGAAGGGAGAGGGAGAGAGAAACATCAACCATGAGAGAGATCATTGATCGGCTGCCTCCTGCACACCCCACACTGAGGATCAAGCCCACAACCTGGGCCTGTGCTCTGACCCGGAATCGAACTGTGACCTCCTGGTTCATAGGTCGATGTTTAACCATTGAGCCACAATAGCTGGGCATCTGTGTATTGATTATCTGTCTACATAACTGCCTGACACTGTCTGTCCATCATTCATTGGGAGGTTCTGGATAGGGCAAGACCTGGTGAGGAACAAGAAGAGAGAAGCCAGGGGCTGGTGCAGGGGGCCTGGCTCAGCTTCATGACAGAAACTGAAATTGCAGCCCAAACCGGTTTGCCTCAGGGGATAGAGCGTCGGCCTGTGGACTGAAAGGTCCCGGGTTCAATTCCGG